GAATTTTTCATTAGTAGTATTGATAAAATTCTACCATTGTTAACATGTTTATATAATAGACTGTTCGAAAACGGTGAATTTCCAGCAAATTGGAATAAAGCAAACATTGTAGTGATTCACAAAAAGGGAGATATAAACGATCCGAATAATTTTCGTGGAATCTCATTGTTAGATATACTTGGAAAGATATATACAGGTATACTTACTAGAAGACTGATTTTTTATATAAATGTATACGATAAAATTGCAGAAGAACAAGCTGGATTTCGAGAAGGATATAGCACCATTGACAACGCTTTCATATTAAATGCTCTTATACAAAAACAATTATCAAAAAAGGGAGGAAAACTTTATGTGGCTTTCGTTGATTTTGAAAAGGCGTTTGACACTATTAATAGACAAAAGTTATGGTCGGTCCTTAGAAAGAATGGTATACGTGGCAAACTTTTTTATGCACTACAAAGTATCTACAAAAATGTCAAAGCATCTGTCATAACAAATACTGGTCAAACAACAGACTTCAATTGCCCGAATGGATTAAAGCAAGGGTGCTTGGCCAGCACAACTCTATTCATCCTCTACATCAACGAGCTTATTGACAGAATTAACACTTCAGGGTATACCGGTATACAACTTTTCCCAGATCAGACACAAATATTATCATTACTATTTGCAGATGACCTGGCATTGACAGCAGACACTGTATTAGGTCTTCAAAAACTTTTAAACTTATTAGAAGTATTTTGTGCTGAAAAGGATTTAAAATGTAATACCAAAAAAACTAAAATATTAGTATTCAAAAATGGTGGAAAATTAACTAAACATGAAAAGTGGACGTACAATAGTAAGCCAATCGAAGTTGTAAATTGCTTTTCATACGTCGGTTTAAATTTTACGCAACGAAACTCAATGTGTAATATGGCAAAAGAACAATCTTTAAAAGCCAAAAGAATCTTAATTTCAACACTAAACAAACTATATAAGTATGGTTAATTAACACGACATGTTTATTTCAATATTTTTGATACCAAAGTAACCCCTGTACTTTTGTACGGTGCAGAAATATGGGGAACACGTCGCCAAGAATCAATTGAAACTGTGCACAATTATGCCTGCAAAAGATATATGTGTGTGAAACAGAGAGCAAGCAATATGGCTGTCCTAGGTGATTGTGGAAGGCACCCTCTGTACATAGCAGCAGCTAAAAAATGTATAAAGTACTGGTTAAAGATTATTAAAATGAAAGAAAATCGGCTAGTTAAAAAGTGTTATCTTATGCTTATGAATTTGGATGAAAAAGGTCAAAACAACTGGGCCACCGAAATTAAAAACTTACTTTTAAGAAACGGCTTTGGATACATATGGCAAAATCAGTGTGTTTCAAATGATTTTTTTTTATACATACGTTCACACAAAGATTAAAAGACCAATTTCTCCAAGAATGGTCGTCAAATATACACATTAGTTCAAAACTACAGTGTTATGCTAACTTTAAAACAAACTTTGGACACGAAAAATATTTGGAAATTGTTAAAATAAGAAAATTTAGAAGTGCCTTAGCCAAAGTAAGAATTTCAAATCATGCCTTAAATATAGAAAAAGGAAGATATAGAAACATTAATAGAGAAGAAAGAGTGTGCGAACTTTGTCAAGAAGACCAATGTATTGAAACAGAATATCACTTTGTTCTTGTTTGCAATTCATATAGCTCTCTAAGGAAACTATATATTCCTAGAAAATATTGGGTTTCACCATCAATTAACAAGTTTAACATACTCATGAATACTGACTCAGAATCGCTGTTGTTAAATTTAGCTAAATTCATATTTTATGGTCTACAATATAGATCTGAACATATTGGTTAAATTAATTTCTACCAATATTTGTATGACATTTTACTTTTAAATGTAATGAAGTTAAACTCACATAACACATACTAAAATAGATACAAATCAAAGTGTCGGTTTCTTCATTTGAAGGAACATTTATGCTTTATTTATACATTGTTAGCAAAAGTGTGCAAATTATTAATGCAATATGATTAAATTCTACATTAAGTCTATTATTGTTGATTCAAAATTTTTCAATGTATACATTTGAGTTTGCGATAAACTACGTTTTAGCATGTTTTGCCTTACATTTTGTTTCGGATAAGGTTAAACTGTTGAAAATGTATCAAATTAATTCTCAATTACAATTTCTATTTCAGACAAACTTTATAGAAAGATTTTTTTTCTATTGAAATAGCAGTGAATTTTGATGATATACATGTATTACTGTATTTGACTATTACCATAATACTTTAACACTGTTTTGTACATATGTAAACAAAAACTTGTAAACTATGTTTTGTTTTGGGCTGGTGGCCTATGAAGCAATAAAGATATTGTATTGTATTGTATTGTATTGTATAACCATTTATAAAAACAACATCACCATATAGCAAAATTACAGCATCATTTATAAAAACAACAGCAACATAAATAAAATGACACCACCAGGTACCAAAGTGACATCACCATATATCAAAACGAGCTCACCATTTATCATTACTGCAGCACCATGTATCAAAACAACAGCACCATATATATATATAATTACATCACCAATAATCAAAATGACAAAACCAGCTAACAAAACCACAGCACCATCTGTCAAAACGACATCACCATTTATCAAAACCACAGCACCATTTTTCAAATCCACAGCACCATTTATTTAAACTACAGCACCATCTGTCAAAACGACATCACCATTTATCAAAACCACAGCACCATTTACTTAAACTACAGCACCATCTGTCAAAACGACATCACCATTTATCAAAACCACAGCACCATTTATTAAATCCACAGCACCATTTATTTAAACTACAACACCATCTGTCAAAACGACATCACCATTTATCAAAACCACACCACCATTTACTTAAACTACAGGACTATCTATCACAACTACATCACCCTTTATTAAAACCACATAACCATTTATCAGAACCACAGTACTATCTGTCAAAAGGACATGACCACTTTAGAAGTGTTTATATAAGGCAGCTATGGCGTTCCATACATGAACAATGAACTAGTTGATCAATAAATACCAATGTCCATACACTTAAAATAAGCTGTGTTTATGGATGCAGTTAAAATGCATAAGAAATACTAGCATATGTTACAAAGTGAATAAAAACAGACTATTGCTCTATGAAAGTTAAAAGGGAAACAAATTTGACAGGTCCAGTTTGAGCCTTATCACGGTCAGTCATGTTTAATGCACGAAAGCTACCGTCAGCGAACGCTAGCACCGGCTTAATACAATTACATCGACATAATATTGTAGAGTGTTATTGAAAACTAAAACTTAGTTTTTCACACTTCTCTAAGTCATAGGACTCGAATTAAGCACATATCTGGATAAGCAACATTCCCATATTTTTATGCTCCTGAAGGGAGGCATATTAAAATGGCACCGTCTGTCTGTCTGCCTGTCCGTCTGTCTGTCTGTGCGTCCCCAATTTGTCATACTTTGTCATGCATTCAGGGATGTTGAACTAGCTTGGCTAAAATGTCTACCACATTAAGACGATGTGTCGCGTTCAAGAATCACATCCCTTCCTAAAAGGTCAATGTCACACAAACGTTTTAAAGTTCACTTTATCACAATTAGAGTTTATAGATACACACATTGGTGCCCGGACTGTAGCTTTGTTATGCATTGAAGAGTGTTAAGATAACTATACATATATGTCAATCACATTAAGACGACATGTCGCGATCAAAATATCTCTTTCCCTACCTTCATGGTCAAGGTCACACTTATAGTTTGAAGGTACTAATTCTCTCTAGAAGAGTTTGAAGATTCACATTCATGTCCGGACTGTAACTTTGTCATGCATGGTAGGATTTTAAAATAACATGCCACAAATGTCTACCACATTAAGACGATGTGTCGTGGCTAAGGCTCATGTCCGTCTGTCTGTCTCCACTTACACGACAATCATGTCCAGACTGTAACTTTGTCCTGCATTGGGATTTTGAAATAACTATGCATAAATGTTTATCGCATGACCATGTTGTGTCCCGTCCAAAAACCACGTCCCTTTTCAAAGGTCAAGGTCTCACTTATATTCTGAAGGTTCACACTATCACAATTTGAGATAACCACCATCGTGGTCGAGGGGTTAGAGTCGATGACTTCTAATTCAGTTACCTCTCTGGCGTGGGTTCTATTCCCGGTAGATGTTTTGGTAGTTTAGCGCGGAGGAAGGTAGTCTAGTACTGGTGTAACTCTCCAGGAACGATGGTTAGGAAATTACCCGCCTATATGACTGAAATACTGTTGGGAAAAGGCGTAAAATGAAACAAACAAACAAACAAACAAAAACAATTTGAGATTTTAGGTACACACATTTGTGACATGACTATAACTTTGTCATGCATCGAAGGATTTTACGATAACTTGGCACAAATGTCAAGATGACGGGTTGTGTGTAACACCCTATGTTCCTACCTCCAAGGTCAAGGTCACTCTAATGGTTTAAAGGTACTTATACTCATATGAAGAGTTTGAAGGTACACATTAGTTTCCAACTGTAACATTGTCATGCATTGAAGAATTCTAAAATAACTTGGCACAAATGTCTACCACATCAAGATGTTGTGTCGCATTCAAGACCCTTGTCCCACAGTGTTTAGTTTGCTATAAATAGCACTTCATTTCACAAGAACAATATTAAACAATTAGTTACTTTTATTCTCTTTTCTTTTCATAATACCTGTATGCTTAATAAACCTTTTCGGGGCATTGTACTTGCGTGACAGCTCTTGTATTATAGATCAAGTTTTAATGAACTTATCAATAAAAAAGTTGCAGTTGATTAACTTGAATAAGGTCTTGACGTGTTGGACTTTCTTTAGAGATTCTGTTTTTCTCTATTTTTTTTTACGTTAAATGTTTTCGAATACAAATTTTAAGATGACGTTTATAACAATAAAAGACCATTGCAAAAACGACTTCTATTTGTGTTTATGTGAATAAATGAAACAAATACATCATTTCCAACTAATGCACATATTTCACAAATGCGACAGCGCTAAACATAAAATTAACAAGTCTGATTACACTGTTCGTCTATTTCACTCCGTAACCTATTTCATTTCCGGCGGAACACATGAGCACTTCACCAGTTGTAAAAGTTGCATCCACAGCCAGGAACAAACACGCCTTACCAATTTCTTTGGGATCTGCTATTCTTTTCAAATGCTAAAATTATACAATTAACAACAATAGATATGTTGTCCGACAAGGAAATATCGACAAGCCAGCATTCGCTGTGTTACAGTACTGGTTCATACAAGTTTTTGTCAACGCCCACTCGCATCGTCTCAGGGAGCCTCTTTTTGCGGCAATATTTAAATTATAAATGCCTAGCATTATAAACATGTGGTAAAAATTAAACATAAGTCTTTCATATTTATATAGTTTTATATGGTTGAAGAAAGCATTAAATTATCATATTATACATGTATTAGGGTTTATATGGTTGAAAAAATCAAGCATACAACGTTCATATATTAAATTTATAAATAGGGTAATGCCTGATATAATGTTATGTTAAATGTCGTTGTATGCTGTTACATGTTTTTAACACAGAATTGGCTGTTAGCAAGTATCTAACGATGCACAATTTGAAGTGTCATAATTCTTAATCAAGTTTTTAATGTGAAGTAAGGTTATGAAGTACACGATTTATTTGACTAGGTAAGGCACTGTATCGGTATTATCAGATACTCACATTATAACCTTTGACAACACTGGCAGCTTCGTCAAATTTACCGGATTTTTCCAGAAAGTCGTTGAGCATTGGTGTACTGACTGCCCCTGGGGCTATTCTGTAACACAAAATGGTTGACTTCAGCTTTTGTTATGACGAGTGTTTGATTTGGTTTTACGGTGCACCAAAACAATTTAGGTCATATGGCAACGAAACAGGAAAGATATTTTTGGCTAACCTCGGGTATTATAAACTTAAAGCAACACCAGAGGTTAAGATTACCCCCACCTGCTGGAGCTAACAGATACACAGTCTCCAGTAATTCGAACACATTTAGTCACCTCTTACAACACGCAATGATATACGATGGCAGCAATTCTGATGCATCAAACCTCAAAGGCAACCCCTCAACCACAAAGGAATTTGTATTGAAGACTAAACTTAATCGCTTCCAAGACAGCACTCTAGTACTGGTGTATATTTACAAGAATTTTGACAAAATTTATTCCGAGTGCTTTCTTATTGGCCTTCTTATGTACCACAGTTAAAGCTTACGTGCATGTTTTATTTTTATCACGTTAAACATAATACTTACGCATTAACGCGAACTCCATTTTTTGCCTCGTCAATTGCAAGCGCTTTTGTGAAAGATATAACTCCGCCCTGAATAATATAATTAGAACAAAACAGCATAAGCGATTAACAAACGGAAACCAGAATGAAGCTCACACAAACAGGTTTTGTTGAATTGAATTAAATTTCGAGCTGATGTTCATCCCACTTTATTAAATTTCATACTGGCAATAACTGTCAAGACAAGTACATATGTACTCACAAACAACTCTGAATAAAAACAAAACAGAAATACGTCCATTGGAAAGAATTTCTTGCTCAATTTTTGCATTTTTCTTTACAAAAAAAAAATCTTGAAATTGTAGTATTATTTGTTGATATACGCTGTCTTGGTATTTGCCTTTTGTATATTGAATAACAAGAAATAGTTATTTGTATCAAATACATTACGCGGATAAGCATCTTTTATTGCGAGTACAGCCATGAAAAAGGGGCGATGACTTTCTACAGTGCCATATCAACAAATGTTGGTTTTCTATATTTTAATGGAACGTGTTGTGTTTTTCATTTCGTATAATTATTATGAGAATGTTGAATATTATAATGAAATTATATGTTTATTATATGATTGATAAAATAAGAATTTTAAAATAGGGCCTACTTTTGCGGCACTGTAAGTAAAGCTCGCCGCCGTGCCAATAACACCACTTATACTTGACATGTTGACAATGCTTCCCTTGGTTTGCCGTATGTATGGTAGTGCGTACTGAAAAGAAAGTTCTATTTTTTTTACCAAAACGACCACAAAGGAAACCAAAACATATCACTGTACCACATCTGGCAACCCTGTACGATTCTACGTGTAATATGACACATTTAACTTCCAATCATTTTATTATCATTCTTCTTCTTCGTCGTCTTCTTCTTCTTCTTCTTCTTCCATTTTTTTAAATTCTTCGAAGTCTAAATACTACAGTACACATTTTCAGATTGGACCTTTCTTGCCATTACAGGAAGAAGACTCGATAATATACTTACAGTGTAATTTTCTTTATATGAATATGTCAATGCACGAAATCAAAGTATACAATAGCAATAGATGCAAAAACCAAAGATGCAACATGTTTAAAGTCCCAACTTAAGTGTTGTGAATCACTTTTACTGTTCAATTAATAGATGATATTGAATAAGTGTTGTTTCAGCACTGAATTAATTCCAATGAGTTGAACAATATTACAATATTCAATGAGTTTAATAAATACAATAATGACTCTACACGAATATGATATATATAATATTTTTCACATTCCTAAGACAAGAAGTGTTCACAACCATAACCATTTTTGCACGCTTTCTTTGATTATAAAGAGAATGACCTCACTACAAAATATACAAATACCGTTTTAGCGGGGCCGTAAAAAAGCACGCGAATGTGACAAAACACATTTTTCTTGGAAAGAAATAAATTACATTATAGATTCACCTTACACATCGTGAACTGACTGACTAAGTTAACATCTAGAACACGCCTGAACAAATCGGAAGTGACGTCATTGATAATATGGCCTCCTGGAACTTTAAATGAAATACCACAAAATACACATAAACAAATTTGAGTACATGAGCCTTAGAGAAAAGATCACTTATCTGGCAAAAACTGTTTGTTTTAAACATATTTCTAATATAAGGTTTATGTTGTGTCATGGTCAAGAACTGTTCACTTGTTAGGGATAACTTGTGATGTTTGCGGTCGGATAGCTCAGTCGGTAGATCTGCAGAGGCATTCCGAGTGCTGAGGGCTCGAATTCGGGTCAGGTTGCACTTTTTTCTCACACAGTGACAAATAAACATGTAGATAATTTATACACTAAAGCAAAAATGAATTGTACCGAGAGCTGCGTAAGTCTATGGCAGTCTCCTCCGTTGAAAGTTAAATTTGTTTTAGCCTGCATATGGACAACTAGTCAATAAAATATACTAAGTCAAGATAGGAGGGACATATCACACCGTAGGGAACGTGTTACAGTATCGCGTTTTTCGGTAACAATATAGAATTTTAAAGATGGAGGATTATTTGTTGGGAAGAGAGGTAGGTGATTTTTATTCAGGTCCATACTACAAGTAGTTTAGTTTCTAAAATATGTTTTTGTGCTTTGCTTGTTAGGAACAGAATCCGGAATCTAGTCATATATTTCTTCAGACCCAGCACCGCAGATTTATCGCTATATTGTCTCATAAATTTGATAGATTTGACAGTTTGAAAATTTGAATCGAGAGACCAACGCATTTTTCTGCAATTTCGACATTATTTATGCATGCCTAGAAAAAGTAAATCTGCAAAACGTTAGTCCTTTATGTAAGGAAACGTTTATAAAAGTAAATGACCAGTTGAACCAATTTTCCTGTTGGTAAAATGCGTTTGAAAAAATAAACAATGTTACAGTATAGAGCGAAGTAATTTGTGCAGGGTTACAGCATAGACCTAGCGATTTGTATCGATTTCGTTACAGTTTATACCCAGTTCGGTTACAGTTTAGACTTCGATATTTTCTATATAATTATACTAGGTAAAATGTATGAATGTTACATAGACTTTTAAATCTCTGTGAGCTTATTGGCACGATGGCTATTCGTACGTCTGTCGTACACATGTGTGTGCAATCTCATCCGCTCAGTATAACAACTTGACTAAATGTAATGAAATTTACATGACTTTCTAGCAATTAAGTTGTTCAAATGGTTTCGGTTGCAATCGGGGATACGAAAACCCAAAAGATAGATTTTGAAAAAAAAGGCAATGTTTAAAGACCCTTCTCATCTCGAACCAAAAGCATTCAAATCAAATCATGATCATGGCGTCATTTCGAATGCTTCTTTGTTGAAGTTACGATTATTTTGTCATTATTAAATTAAAAGTCGTTTTTTTTGTTTCAGACATCCTGTATACATGTAGCAGTTTTCATGTTTCTGAAAAAGAAAATAATATTGAAAGTTATAGAGTATAAATTTAGGTCAGACAATTACAATATCTTCTCTAGTGAGCCTGATGGAGGTACATAATTACGGAATGCCGTTAGGGCCATCGCCTATGAATGTGTTGATCTGAAACGCGATAGTCGATAGTACGATGGTGAAAACGCGAAATCACGAAACTACGATGGTGAAAACGCGAAAGTACGATGATGAAAACGCGATAGTACGATGATGAAAACGCGACAGTACGATACTACGATGATGAAAACGCGATAAACTATCGTGTTTTCACCATCGTACTGTCGCGTTTTCATCATCGTAGTTTCGTGATTTCGCGTTTTCATCATCGTACTGTCGAGTATCGCGTTTCAGATCAAACCATTGATAGGCGATGGCCCTAACGGCATTCCGGAATGCCGTTAGGGCCATCGCCTATGAATGTGTTAATCTGAAACGCGATAGTCGATAGTACGATGATGAAAACGCGAAATCACGAAACTACGATGGTGAAAACACGATAGTACGATGATGAAAACGCGATAGTACGATAATGAAAACGCGATGGTACGATGATGAAAACACGACAGTACGATGGTGAAAACGCGATAGTACGATGATGAAAACACGACAGTACGATGATGAAAACGCGATAGTACGATGGTGAAAACGCGATAGTACGATGGTGAAAACACGACAGTACGATGATGAAAACGCGATATCACGAAACTACGATGGTGAAAACGCGACAGTACGATGGTGAAAACACGATAGTTTATCGCGTTTTCATCATCGTAGTATCGTACTGTCGCGTTTTCATCATCGTACTTTCGCGTTTTCATCATCGTACTTTCGCGTTTTCACCATCGTAGTTTCGTGATTTCGCGTTTTCACCATCGTACTATCGACTATCGCGTTTCAGATCAACACATTCATAGGCAATGGCCCTAACGGCATTCCGTACATAATAGTGGCAGAGTCGGGATAATGCCGTCGACTTCAAATCATCTTTCATTTACTGCTGTAGTTGAAATCCAATCATGACTTTGGATTCTTTGTATGTGAGGAATCTATCAAGCTAATTTACGGAAGGTCGGTGGTTCTAGTCTGGCGCTCGTGTCTGAAATGTTTCTGGGGTCTTTCTTTACACTAAAGCAGGAATGTTTTCACATGACCTCAGTGTCGTTGAAACTTAAAATCCAAGAAAGCCAAACGTAACAAAATAGAGTTAAACAGAATCCCTTAAGAAATTCAAAAAACAACAAAATTGAAAATGTTCAAAAACCCTTTTAAATACTTACAAAATACATTATGGTAGATGGAAATTCCAACTTAAAATAGAATTTAAGGTTGCAGTATTGCTCACTTAAATACTGTTTAATCATTCTTAGGGTATTGCCTGATTGTTAATTGTGTCTTTTGACTATAGTATGCAGGCTTCATAGCCTCCGATCCTCTCTCAAAATTTCATTTTGTTTAGTTTCACTCATTGTATTCTCGTTTATGGCACACGCAATTTTTAACCGGGGGGGGGGGGGGGGGGTAATATGCCGCTTTTCATAGAATGGCAATAACGTGTCACATTGAAGGTTCCATGATAACCGCCATATGAACACATCCACAGATGTTAAAAAAATCTGAAGTGTACCAGTTCATGTTTAATGTGAATTCTGCTGAAGCCGGTGCTAGGAGGCGTGAACGGTAGCTTGCAGTTACCACTACCGTCCATGAACAGGTTTAGTCAAACTTAGCATGCAACATTTTCATGTTTTCCGTGTTGGACTTCTGTTAAGGATTCTTTTTCTCTATTTTATTACTTATAGGCATTATTATAATGTGTAATGAAATCAAGCAATAATCTTTCTTCTCTCATTGCAATTCGATAAAAGTTACTGTTGTTGTCGTGAAAACAGTCACTACTTAGGACATTACTTATTCTGCAAAAAGTCTCAATCTGAAACTTAAAGTAATAAAAATAGCAAACTAAAACTTTTCTGCTGAAGAAAAAAAGTAATACAACCTTTCAAGAATGTATTAAATACAAAGGTATGAGTTATTTCATAAAAATAATGGATACACGAACTTTGTTTGAAATTTGGGAAGTACTTGTATCTAAACTGTAACCGAAATCTGGGTATAAACTGTAACAAAATTGGATCAAAGTCGCTAGGTCTATGCTGTAACCATTCAAAATTAAGCTCGCTCTATACTGTAACATTGTTTATTTTTTCAAACGCATTTCACCAACAGGAAAATAGGTTCAACTGGTCATTTACTTTTATAAACGTTTCTAAACAAAAATGACTAACGTTTTGTAGATTTACTTTATCTAGGCATGCTTAAATAATGTCGGAATGGGAGAAAAATGCGTTGGTCTCTCGATTCAAATTTTTAAACCGTCAAATCTGCACATTTTTGAGACAATATATAGATAAATCTGCGGTGCAGGGTCTGAAGAAATATATGACTAGATACCGGATTCTGTTCCTTACAAGCAAAGCACAAAAACACCTTTTAGAAACTACACTACTAGTAGTATGGACCTGAATAAAAATCACCTACCTCTCTTCCCATAAATAATCCTCCATCTTGAAAATTCTATACTGTAACCGAAAAACGCGATACTGTAACACGTTTCCTACGGTGTATCAATGATGAAAATTAATATAATACAGTTCAAAAGAAAATTTGTAATTTTTGTTGAGACCAACATAAGAACTGCCAAATATGGGATGAAGCATGTATAACTGAATTTGGCGATGATATTAATAAAACGTACAGTAGCCAACGTCGTTGATGACACAATCAATTCTGTCAAAAGCCTCAATTGTTTCGGCAATACATTTCTGAAATGCAATAACAAAATTTGATAAAATGAATATGATACCCAAAGCTATTATAGTGAATAAATATGAAATCTAACAGTACAATTATGTCTTCCTCGTGGTTATTTATGTCTGAAATAAAAAGAATATCTTGGTTTTGACCACTGGCGTTTCTTTGAAGTTTGTAACGTCCTAGGTTACCCAAAATCATCTTTCCTGTTTCAGCGCCATAAGACCTAAACTGTTGGTGCGCCGAAAAACCAAACACAAAATCTTAAATTAAATACATGTTAAAAAATTAACATGATACGCCTATATTACAGATGATATTTATCAGCTAAAGAAGGCTGTTTAAACACTATCAGATGTGCTTTTATATTTTTATTTACCTTTATTTCGTCTTCTTTAGTGACGTCACAATGTTTGTATAATATCTTTCCAGGTCCTTGAACGCTGAGAGAGTTGCCAATTTCATCTGCAAATCACCCAGATAATGTTGTTTAAACCAAATATTAAACTTGCGAAAAGAAAGTGTCAAAAATAATTCATTTCTTATTTCATTTAAGAAAACGATATGTATGGGATAGTCAATTTTAAATATATTATTTACACCTTACATTAGCTGTACATTAGTCTTATAATTCGCTGAGAATGTGTATATGTAATTCCATTTCCAGTGCAGAGACAATTTTTTCAATGCGCTTTATTTATTTTTTACATTTTGCATCACATTGTCTAATGTAACAGCTCATACAAAGTATTTCTTAAATACAACTTTCGTTTTTTTCCAGTATGTTAAAATATTACGCACATAATATTCAATAATGCAAAAACCTGCCTCTCGGTTACAAATAAAATTTATGTGTTTAAAAAGAAGAAAATATTTCACTGGAACGATTCCACTTTTATGCTTCTGGTGCATTATTGTTGATACTGTACATGTTCATTCATGGTAGCAAAAGTAATCTCAATATGTCGTAGTTTTAGTTACCATTAATATCAAACACAACCACTGTTCCTCCATTCTCAACTGAAATTTGAATAGTTAAACATCATTCTTAACTGAAATTTAAAGAGTTAAACATCATTCTTAACTGAAATTTAAAGAGTTAAACGTCATTCTTAACTGAAATTTAAATAGGTAAACGTCATTCTTAACTGAAATTTAAATAGGTAAACGCCATTCTTAACTGAAATTTAAATAGGTTAACGCCATTCTCAACTGAAATTTAAATAGGTAAACATCATTCTTAACTGCAATTTAAATAGGTAAACGCCATTCTTAATTGAAATTTAAATAGGTAAACGCCATTTTAACTGAAATTTAAATATTTATGTAAACGCCATTCTTAACTGAATGTGGCATTCATGACCGACATTCAAAGAGGTTCACGTCATTCTTAACTCAAATATAAAAATGTAAGCGGCACTCTACTTAAACGATAATTAAGAACTTGAAAACTCTCTAAAAGGAATATTGGCTTGCCAATGCTATAAGTATCAGACTTTTGGACAAATTGACGGACAAAAGTGGCTTGTAGTACATATTTATCACTATCTTTGTAAATACTTTATTAATTTTCTTCAAATACAGAATAGAATTGTGTCAGTTAAATTGCATAAACCCGTGCGTAGAACAATTTCCACACATGTTACACTAATATAAAGTCATTTTGAAAGGTTAACAATAATGCTTGAAAAAGTATTATTTCTGCAATTTGATAAATTAGGTTTCAGCTCTTGTGGGGTCATTGTTTTCTTCTCGATTTTGTTTTCTTGAATTAATATCAAGCTTCTTTTGACACTTGGTCCTACATAAAGGTGCACACATCTCAAAATTAAAATTTACAATAACCTTATTGGGAAAAGAATATAAACTGATCAGCAGATTTTAAACGAGTATGACAATTATATAGACAACTGTTACTCTGCAAAGCAGTTACATAAAATGATACTGTTATAGGTATATATAAAAAAAAACAGAAAAGACACTATTAACGATAATTTATTCAGTCAGAAACCCAAGGCTATCATTTTTATTCAATATATTTTTTTATAACTTTAAATATGATACGCCACATCGATTCATTTAGTGACCACCTGAAACTGAGTTCACAAATTTAAAGCATATTGGTAATTCGGTCAGTTAGTCAAAGTTTGTATCCCAACCTTCTCGGCATTGATAATAAATGTGCGTTTTTTACAGTAATGATGAAATGTTGTGATAATTGAAAAATATTATAACTATATTAATCATATCTTTACAACCCGTGTTGCTTATCTATGCATATACATGCATTGTAAAGTTCACGCCATGTTTGGGATAAAAAATGTTTTAAAAATTCGCCCAAAACGAAATTAAAATTCTACAAGAAAAATAAAATTTTGGACCCTCTAAAAAGGGGCAAAAAATAATGAACTTTGAAAAGGATTTTTTTTGCAGATTGAAAAAAGCAATTTAATTTGAAAAGGTCAGTTGAATGTCACATTTACATGTATGTCCAGTGTTTATGCTGTTAGTGTTCGCCCAGTATTTGCTTATCCAACAGTAAAGGCACTGTATCAATTTCTGATTCAAAATTTCACCATATCATGTTTAAATAGTGAGCTGTTCTTAAGGCTGTGCTACGTAGGGGGCATGGGAAATCAATTATTACTTTAAAATAGTTCCTTGATGGGAGACAGATAACGTTTTTATTTTAAAAACATTTAATGCTTTTAGTTTTTTTTAATGATCATTTAGATTGATATACTCTTATATAATAATATGTTTTAATTTTGTTATATAAACAGTAAGTGAAAAAAGTTATATCTCAGTCGTAAGCATATCATTTGTTTAACTTACTGAATATATCTACTACCCCTTTTCCAATTCCGCTACAACCTCCAGTGACTATCACAACCTTGTCTTTCAAACGTAATCCATCGTCCATACTTGCTTGTATAAATCCGGTATGATATAACTTATACGTCCACTCTCAATTTGAAATGGCTTTCTTTGTTTAGTTTACACTGTACATTGCAAATGTAATACATTGAACGAGATAACTTCTAATTAAAAAAAATCATATCTTGAACATAACATATCCTACTTGTTTTGAATTGAATGATTAAATTATACAAGTGTCAAAAATGTTCAAATCATTTGCAAGTTAATTCAAATATATGTTGTTTGTTTACTGTTTTCTACTCCAATTGTCATATCTCGGTAATTGATCCAACTAACCTTGGATAACTAACTAGTTATTACAAATTTATCCTCGAGTAACTACTCATCTCACATGAATTTTTTGATTTAGCGTGTATATGCATCGGAGGACAAACGATCTTAAGACGATCTCATGTCAGAGCAAATTTTAACGCTTCTATTCATATATCATGCATGCATTTCGCATCAATAGTTTTATTCATAAAACCTGTTTAACGTTTAAATTAAGGTTTTAATCATAAACAGTGACGTACATAAAGCTTTTAATTTAACATAAAATGGCATATCTTCACTTACAAACAGTCATTTCTATTTCTTCAGTTATATGTTGAATAATATTTAGGATTTCAAGGTAAAGTCAAACCATACATTTTTTTATTAAATCATGTACCTGAAATTGTGTCAAGCATATAAAATTTGTACACCCTATATTTATTTACAAAGTCCATTTATATTTTAGACTATGTCAAAGAATGAATATGAAAACAGTCTATTCTATTGTTCTTCTTTTTTTACCATTTGCTCTTATTTTTCCAAACAGGATCATATTCACCGAAATGTATTATCACTTATTTCCATTATTATGTTTTAAAAAATAAGCGTAAGGAAGGCGCGGAGTACACGGGATTAGTACATTCTACCCTATGATTACAAAGCTGTGGATTTTTCACTTCCAATCTTACCCCTACTATTCACTATAATAACAACCACTCATCCTCCTTTTTTGCTGCCGTTTTATTAGTTATACTGTCGAATTCTTTGTCGGCATACACCATCTTTGTTCTCACAAACAAGAAATATTTAACGAAAATCTAATAACAACCCTATATCCGTATCAGTTTCTCAACCTATCTGGTTATATTCATCCAAATGCAGGTGGACCAGTTCATTAAACTTGTCCCTTATTTCTTTCATTTTCTTTCTCCTCATCACAACGAGAAATCACTATTTGCCTTCTCAAGCTTATGCATTTGAATGTCCAAACTAGGCAGATGTGGACAAAATGATATTTTCTTGTTTACAGAAACTTGGCTTTTTCACATCGGATGAAGACCCAAGAATTCATAAACTTTGTCCTCTCTTTTGATCTACATGTAAGAATAAATAGCGGTGTAGCAATCTCTTGGAGATTAGCTTAACGATGTCTTTAGACAAGATATAAATATTAACAGACTCGAAACAATTTGGGTAGAGATCATCATTCACTCGAAAGACTTCTTATCAGTGTATTAAAATGCTATTTGACTTTAGCAATGAATACTGGCAACTCTAAGAAAAATGTTATCTGTATACACTGATAATACAATACTTTCAGGTGACTTCAAAATCAAATCTCA